CTCCCAGAGGTCACATTTGCCGTTGAATTGCCTTCCATTAGAATAAATATCTCTCTTGAGGATGCTCCACAGGTTCTCAATGGGATTCAAGTCACAGCTATTTGAAGGCCAGTCCATAAGAGAATCTTCAACAAATCCCTTTTCTTTCAACCAGGATTTAGTAAACTTTGATGCATGACTTGGTGCGTTGTCTTGCATAAAGATCATAGATCTACGCTTGGCTAAAGACTGGTTATCAAGCCATTCAAAGAAATATTGCTCTAGAAAATCACAGTAAATTTTGGAATTCATTTTAACCCCGTCTTTCAGTTTAAATGGACCCACGAGCTCATTGCCAATAATCCCAGCCCATATTATGATCCCACCGCCGCCTTGTTGGCGTTTAAAAAAATTTGAGTCATGTTGCTTGCAAACCCATCCTCGAGCCCATCCATCGGGCCCATCGAGGATGATCCTTGATTCATCTGTAAAAAGCACTTTACTGAAAGTTTTTGCCCACTGCAATCTTCTTTCCTTATGTTTTTTTTTGTTAAAATGGGTTTCTTTATTTGATTTTTTACATCAGCAAACTTCCTTAATGCTTTACACCTTGTTTCCCTTGACACCATAGGAGCTCCAGCGGCCTCAAATATGAACGCACTTGACGCATTTGGGTTTCTTATTAATTCTCTTCGGATATGTGATAGATCTCGCTTTGTTAAATTCCTGAATTCCGCCTGAGATTTTTTTCCTTGGTTGAATTCCCATTTGACATATTTTCTTGATTGTTCGATGATCCCTTTTCAAATCCTTAGAAATTTGAAGCGAAGATTTTCCTTTGCTAATTTCTTTGATTATATAGTTCTTTTCATTCATTGTTAGTTCTTTTTTACGAGACATAATACTAAATTCTAGTTCTTGCAAATAATCTCTTGACAGCAAATTGCTATAATTACTGAAAAAAAATACTAAATATCAATCTGAAATTGAAAATTGGGACTTAATTGCTTTCATGCTTACTCGCTATACATAATAGTACAAATTATTAAATTGATAACACATATCTATGAATTTTACATAAAATATTTGACAATACCTCTTTTGCATATAATCTCTAGACGCATTTATATATATATATATATGTATATATATATATATATATATATATATGAAAATTTCTCAGAGTTAACCTGTAGAAAAGACAATATTTATAAATATAATGACAATAGAAAACTCTAGTTATTGCTGACGCGTCACCAACAACTACAGTTTTCCTATTGCCATTTATATATATATATATATATATATTATTTTTTTATAAAAAATTATAACATAAGTATGTTATATATATATATATATATATATATATATATATATATATATATATATATATATATATATATATATATGTCAGGTTAATTAATGCATTTGATCATTTTACTGACAAAGTTTCACTTCGTTCAGTTCTGAAACATTCCAAGTATTAAACACTTAGAAACAGTTCTTTACAATAAAAAAAATTAATTCAATTTTGGCTTGCTGAATTATAATTGAAAAAATAAATCAGTGAAAAACGCTCTAGTTTTCATCGTCTATAATGATGTTAAAGTAATTAGTGTGATTTTTCCGGTAGCAAGAGGAACTTACGTTACCTTCCATACACTAAGATTACATTAACTTGCTTGTATATCTAAGGTGTTTAGCATGCAGAATAGCAGATTTTGATCTTTAATAGTCATTCGATATTACAATCTCTTATATTTGCCGAAACATTAAAAAAAACAATCTTTCATTTTTAGAATTTATTAAATAGTAACTTGTTTCGTACCCGAGAAATATAAATACAATCCTAACAGTACCAGTGGTGAGTGTTTGAATCAAGGTAATTCTCTCGTAACTTGAATGTTGATTTTCAAGAGAGGCCTGTCGACCTCATTTGCAAATCTTTTTATCTATGTTGTGCTATTTCAGGATTTGGATCATCGTGGCTCCCCACAGCCTCTTGTCTTTTGTAACTCTTCCTAAGGTTTGTCTTTTTGCTATCTCTTCTAATCTTTGTTCTACCAATCAGTTACTCGCATCTTTCCGCTGCCCGTCTTGCCTTCTGTATGTTCTGTGAGTGTTAAATTTTCCAAGCCTATTTTCCTCATTATGTACCCTACAAATTTCAGTTGATTCTTTCTGATGCTAAATACAATTGTCCTTGTGTTTCCATTTACCTTGAAAGTTCCTCGTTAATCACGTGTTCAGTCCATGAATTTGAAGCAACAGAAATGAGGTTCTTCAGTAGGATGCTGATAATACTCTCAGCTTCCTACTGTAGAAGCACATTTCTGTTGCCTCAAGTTTTTTCTTCATCTGTGAGGAGATTGTCCAGCATTCACTGCCATATGTAGAAACCGATATTATAATAGTTCAGTACTCTTTTCTTTGTTTTCTAGTGAAACTTTCCTGTTTTTTAAGACTTTGCTCAGCTTTTTGAAAACATCTTTCGCTATTCTAATGCGTCTTCGGATTTTGGTGTTGTCCTTTCCGCCCCCCCCCTGTTAAGACACGGCATAGATATTTAAAATTTTCACACTTGCTTGATTTTGGTCTCTCCAATTCCTAGTTCGTATCTTGGGCTATTTCTTTTGTTGACAACCATGCATCCTGTAAATTTACAATCGGTGTTTACTCCTTTTTTTCCCCTTTCTAATAAAAATATTCTCGCAACTGTCATTTAGCCGTTTCTCTGATTAAACTTAGTTCACAACTGCACAAGATTGCGTTTCTCGCAGCTGTCAATGTATATGTTATAGTATTCACGCAGAATAGACAAAATAAAACAATCTTAAAGAAAACAAGACTTTCGCTGATTTAAAAAATAAAATTCCTTACCAAATACAACTGATGGAATATAAGAACCGGCACCTCCGACGGCTGTCAAAAAACGGAGTACGATAATCATTTTGATGTTATCAATGACTGAAGACAGAATTCCAGTAATACCTTGGACCATAAGTGAAATAATAATGACAGTCTTGCGCCCCAATCTGGAAAAAATCGTAAGAAGGCAAGTAAGAGGAATCTTGAATCAGAAAAAAAAAATTTTTTATTCAAACTGAGAAGAAATGAAACGGATATCGCCTTTTTCCACAAACAATCATACACAGACAAACGTTCTGTTTTTGAGTTCTCTGAAAATCCAATCGCAAAAATGTATAGTATTCACAAATAAACAAAATAGTTTATAAAAATAAATATATAATAATTACATTAAAAAATCAATAGCAAAAACTTAAATCACTTTCGTTTAATAAGCCGAAAATTTACGTCATTAAGTGGCCTCCATAGTTTACCTTTCCTTACACATTAAGTTTTTAAAATATTTTAGAGCATTTTCGTATTCATAATTTGTAAACTTAACTTTATTTTTCTCGATGTTACTTGTCTTCATAAATACTGGTTAAATAAAATCTGCTCACTTGCCTTGATAAAGTTCCTCAAAGAACGAAACACTTGGCATATGTTTTACTCTTCTTTCTTTTCTCATATATATATATATATATATATATATATATATATATAGATAGATAGATAGTGGGATAGATAAATTCTCGTCTAAATTCCGCAAAAATAAAAATAACACTGGCAGCTCATTTGAATAGATATATGTACCAAAATTACACAAACATATCTTGAAATAATAAAGTAAACTTATTCAATAAAATCTCCATTTGCTTTAACCACGGCCTCCAGACGACGTTCGAATCTTCTCCAACTCTTCTGGACGGTCTCCTTATTTTGAATCATTGAAATCGGACCAGTGGGAGCGGAGGAGTTGCTTGGATACACACACGCATACACTGTACTTTATATATATAAGGAGGCACGGTGTAGTAATGGATAGCGGCTTGGATTGAGGAACTGGAGAGTCGAGTTCGAATTCCAGTCGAATCCATTACATTCACGTATGTGCTAATAGCCCTGGGAAAGGTATGAATCATTTTCTCTTTCCAGCTATAGGTAAATAGCAGGACAAACCGGGTTCCATAGCCTTGGATGGTCTAGGAGAAGGACAACTCTGAATTAAAAACCTGCGGATGGTCGTTTGGAGACCTTCTCACATGTAGTGCACCAGGTCTCTGTATTCGACCCTCCAAAATGTGTCGTTGCTTCTGCACAAAACCTTCACCACTATAATCAAATCACATGTGCTGGTTTCTGGCTGTCAGTTCCTACTTGATCTACATACATCGAATACGACGGGGAGTCGAATATATATATATATATATATATATATATATATATATATATATATATATATATAGATAGATAGATAGATAGATAGATATATGGAAAGGAGAGAGAGAGAGAGAGAGAGAGAGAGAGAGAGAGAGAGAAAGAGAGAGAGAGAGAGAGAGAGAGAGATTAGAATAAAAACAGATTGAATACATATTCTCCAAACATACTTACCGATCAGAAAGCCAACCGCAAGATAGCATGGCAAACAAGTACCCAGCGAAAAATCCGGTATAAATTTGATGGGCGAGCCATTCATGACTGCAAACTAAATTAAACTAGAAAAACATAAAATTAAAGTATTGAAAATAATTATTGAAATTAGCTGGCACAATTTTTTACGGAAATTTAAAATAGATTCAAAATTGAATTGGAATTAAAATATTGATGATAAGGAAAATAACATAGAAAGATAAACTTCTAAAATAGTAAAACAATAACCGAATGAAGCACTCTCTTGACTAGAGTGGGGTTTGAGAGCCCGCTGATGAAAGTGCTGGAGAACAGTGTAGAATTTCTGTCACCCGCGAACGAATCAAGCTAGCTCAAAGTAATTTGACAATTTCATTGCAGAGGAAGAAGTGACTCGAAGCGACAGAGATATGTTTCTACAGATGGATACTGACAATACCATGGACTGAACATGTGAACAATGAGGAAATTCTAAATGAAATGATATCTAGAAAGAAAGTCATACTTAAAACGTTTGAAATTTCTAGGACATATAATGAAGAAGAATGGCTGGAAAACTTAATAAAAACATGTATCATAAAAGGTTTTGATTGCTGGAAACAGTAAGGAAATAACCTAACGAGCTCGTGGGAATAGATGAAAAAGGGGATGGTAAAAAGTAAAACGTTGCTTAGTATGATAAGAGGTAAGAAGTTCATCACCCATGGCCAGAAAAGATTCTTCTATATTCAGTGTATTTTTCAGATGTATTACATTTAGACTATAATTTGTATAACCTACTTGAAGTAGACGCAAATAATTCAATAGCGGACATTTTATCAGAGATAAAGGAGAGACTTGAAGCGACAGACGGATACTGACAATACCATGGTCTGAAAATGTGAACAATAAGGAAGTTCTAAAGGAAAATGGAAACTAGGAAAACATTCATACTGGGAATATATTTAACTCTATTTAAAATTACCGGCGAAATTTCTAGGTAAATTATCAGGAAGGCATTGAAAAGTTAACTCTCACATGATATTGTGAATGATGGCGGAGGAGAAGAAAGCGGCAAATAACCTACCTGATAAGTTTGAATAAATGGATGAGAGATCGGACACAAAGAAGGAAAGTAAAGATTGTTTAGAACAACAAGGGACAGGAAGATACGGAATGCCAAGGAAACAGCATATAAAACAGTAATCATGATAAGAACGTCCAGATCATGACAATACAGAAGGTTGTGGGATAGTGATATAGGGGCTGAAGAATTCAAAATCTTGTCACGAATTATTCATCGATAATCAATCATTTCATGCCAATGTATAAATAATAATAATAATAATAATAATAATAATAATAATAATGTTCCGTGTGGTTTGTGTTGATGGTGAAAAACAGGTTGTAGATTTAAGCTGTCTCTGTATCCTGAAATAACAACCAGACATTTGAAGTGAATGCATATAACAAAAACAAAAAATAATTAATACCCTGGTGACACACTAGATATGGTCTTGATGACTTCTGATCTTAACTGATTGTAAATGTTATCATATGCAAGTTTTGGTGAATTAAGATGGGTTAGTGTTAATATCACAATACTTGTCAGTTGCTTGATTTTAAATAGTCGGGATGACGTAATGTGAATCATGAACGGAATTAGTGTGAGAACATCATAGTCAGGTATCATGAAGGTTGTTTTTTTTTTAATTGTAGGATAGAGCATCTCAAGTGACTTGGAAGTCATATTGAGATGTTTGGGAACAACCTCAATTAGAGACAATCCGAACGAACTTTACCAGACCTAAAAATATTTTTAACTGGATCTCATCTGCGAAGATCTTGTGCTAGACACAACTAAGTTTAGTTAATAGTTTTGGCAAACAAGAGTGGATTTATGTCCAAGTTTTCTTAATACCTTAGTAGTTTTAACATACAGAAATATTACACACACACACGCACATACACACACACACACACACACACATATATATATATATATATATATATATATGTGTGTGTGTGTGTGTGTGTGTGTGTGTGTGTGTTTGATTATAGTGGTGAAGGCTAGTGCAGAAACAACTACACTTTTTGGCAGAGACGAATACAAAAAACTGGTGCACAGTATGCCAGAAGGTCCTCAAACGACCCTCTGAGGATTTTGACTCAGTTGTCCTTCCCTTAGACCCAGTCTATCCTATTATTTACCGAGAGCTGTTGTGGGGGTAGAAATGATTCACACATTTCCCAAGGGTATTAGCACGTAAGTGAATCTAATGAGCTCAGCTGAAATTTGAACTCGGCTCTCCGATTCCCCGTTTGACCCTAATACATCGAAAACGACCGAGTGTCCAATATATATATATATATATATATATATATATATATATATATATATATATATAGGTAAAAGTTTGTGACCATCTTGCATTTCTTTAAAAAAAAACCTTAAAATGAGATATATTTGCATTTTGTAAGTAAAAGTTAAAATTTCTGTAACTACAGTATATTTGACAAATGAAAAGCACAACTGTAAAACATTACCATACAACAGCATCATATTTTGTTTTCATTAATAAAACCACTACCTGCCTTAGTTACTGCTTTACAGATTTTTGGCATTCTTTCCAAGAGTTTTTGAAAAAAAAATGGAGATGTCAAAATTCCCCTAACATTTGTCAAGTACTGCTCTTTGTGCATTCTCTTCGAACTCTCCTATCCAATTCACCCACAGTGATTAAGTGGAAGAGAGGTCAGAAAATTGTGGTGGCCAAGTCAAAATTTCCAAAATGACATTTGACATAATTTAGAAATTGTTTTTGTTCGCTGTCTCATAGAAAGCTGAATGTTTTTCAATTATGATTAAAAAAGATGGTGTAGCAGGACTGCAAAATCGAATGATATTTTTCTTTTTTCATGAATTCTTTGACCTAAATCAAGTCTCCATCACTTTCTCCCACAAAACACTTCGACCATGCTTAACTGTTAGAGCCATCCATTCATCTTTTTCTCTCTCTCCTGGCTTTCATGTCATATAGATGCTCCTCTTATTGCCAAAAATGTACAGTTCTTATGCTTTTTGTCCATAACAATCTTTTCTGCTTATTCACCTTCCGTAACATGAATTTCTTACTGGCTATGCACTTTTTCATCCTCACTGAAGTTAATTTTTCATAGTTGAGAGCGACACTGGTTACCGTCAACTCTGGGGCAGTGTTCTTCAAATTTCTGTTTCACTCAATACTCAAGTGTTTATCTACAACAGCAGCTGGCACTTTTAGTGCTCCAGCTTTTTTTCTGTCAACATTTGCATCATTTTCTAAATGCCTTTGTAACGAATATTGCACCCAATGTCTAGAAATCTCCAACTTCTTGGCATTTTGTCTTTGAGAGAAGCCTTCTTTGAATTCTTCTTCAATTTGTGCCCTCACCTCAATGTTTAGACACTTTGATTTTGCCATTTTGCGCAAATTACTTCAAAATTAAAAATTAAATAAATTATGAAAATACTCTCGTAATATCACAATCTTTTTTTCTTCAAACAGAAACAGCTATTTATGCTTCGTTTACAAATTTAGTCAGTGCTGAATTAACATTTAGAAACTGCATTTTAACGTTTAATTAGTTGAAAATTTTGGTAATCTAAAAACTTTTTGGAACTTTTTGGTAGCCTGAAGAACCCGAAGAAAGACTGAAAAATGTAGTTAATGAGCTGAAATTTAATGTTTTCCTTAAAAAAAAATGCAAAAATATTTTATTTTAAGGTGTTTTTAAATAAATACAGAAACGTACCAAACTATATATATATATATATATATATATATATATACCATCAATATATTCAAAAACATTGAAACATTGAACAATTTATTAATATTTAAGTATACAATTCAAGTTGCAGTGCCATTATACGATAAGTTCTTAACACAGAAATGCAGTAACATAAGTCAAAGTATTTCATCTAGTTATATACAGACTTATAGAAAACGCGATATCTGAGGTTTAAAATGAAGCTTTTATTTTAGTTTTAACTTGAAGTTTTATTTTAATTTGAAGCTAACAGATTAAATTTAATATTTCCAATAAGTAAAATAATTTGTTGTATTTTAAAAACTAATTTAAATTGGGTGAAAGAGTTTTTTTATTAAAAGAAGTCTTCCAAAAATAAAATATACATTTGTGAAACTTTATTTGAGGAATATTAGCTTATTTAAAGTATAATTAATACGATTGGAAACACATATTAATTACTTTAAGTTTGAAATATAGCAGAAATATTTTAACTAATATAAATATTAAGCGGATGAAAATTTAATCTTTTGAAATTTCATGAATCGATGATGGGTAACAAATGTAAAGAAATATTTTTTACCAAGATTTTCTAAGAAAAAAGAATCTAAAATAATTTAATTCATTTGTGAATAAGTTCTGAAATTTTTGTTAAAATCCAACAATTATTTAATTTTTGCAAGATTTACTAAATCAAAGTGTTTTTAGTGCAAAAGACGCTAATATTTCCTTTACTAATTTTTACCCCACAATTCAATGACGCAAGAAAAACAATATTTTTAATCAGAATGAAATAATCGAAAAATACTTTGTTCTTTCCTCTTATTAATAACGTAAAATTTTTGACGATAAAACGTTGTTTTTATCAAGTTTGGGGCCTTTTTCATCATGGTATGCTCATTTGTCAGCGAATTAGTGTAGGTAACTGCTATAGGATAATGTTTAAGGTGACAGATAATAGAAAATTGAGGTGCGTTAATTGGGATTCTTTCGATAAAAACAAACATAGATATATATAAAAGATACTTACGTCACTGGTGATTGTTGTTTCAAATACTGATTTGTCATAAACCCAAGAAGTGCAGTTACCAAGAGTTTGGTTTCCCAGTACACTTTTGTTGAGATAAAGATGGCACCTACTGTACACTGGTTTCCCATCAACTATATCTTCGGGTATGTATTCTTTAATAAGCTCAGCGTGGGCTTCGCTTTGTACTTCGTAAGTATCGTTTGTCAAACCAGGAATAGCACACCTACATAAAAAAATAAATAAATATAGTCGTATAAATGTTTCGTATTATTTATATTTGTATTATTTCAAAACATATTATTATTTGCATTATTTTATATCGTATTATTATTTGCATTATTTTATATCGTATTATTTTATATCGTATTATTTGATTTGATCTCTGCGACTTTTAGATATTTCGGCCTGTTTCGAATGAGCATATCTCATCTCCTAGAGACACAACCATTTTCCTAGCCCATGAACTGTTCCAAGCAGTGCTGCCATCTAATCACTCCCAGTGATGTCAAATATCCCCAAGGCATCATTCGTAGCAGAAAGATTCCTAGAAATAGTCCTGTGTGAGCCAACCACAAAAGAGACAACTTTAACTTCTGATTGGCATATTTCTCTGATTTGCCTTGCCAGATCTACGTACTTTTGTATTTTTGCCTGTCCCGCCTTCAAGATGTTCCTATCCCAATGTACTGCAGCTTATATCAAGATCCGTCCATGACTACTCGTGTGCACGAGTGTGATATTTGGACGATTGTTCATCAAACGCTTGTCAGTCAAGATATTATTATCTTTTATATTTTTCTGGTAATTTTGATTGTTATTATGAACTGTACACACTAAGGAGGCACGGTGGAGTAATGGATAGCGGCTCGGATTGAGGAATCGGAGAGCAGAGTTCGAATTCCATTCGAATCCATTACATTCACTTACATGCTAATAATCTTGGAAAAGGTATGAAGGACAGACTGAGGAAAAAATCTGCATGATCGTCTAAACGTGTATCACACATGGCATATAACTGACTAACACACTATATTTAAAACTGCACGCCTTAAGGTCCTCGACAAAATCCAGATACGGATATGCAATATAATTGGTTCTGATCTGGCATCTCATCAACAGTCGCTCTCTCACCGTCGCCTCCCTCTGTCTTTTCTAAAAATACTTTCACGAGTTACTTTCGATAGTTCTCAGACTGCATGAATTTAAGCGTGCTACTAGGCTGGCATCACGGTCCTACCCTTTCACTGTCGAAATGTAGCCGTCTCTTCTACTCCAATAGCCTCATGTCTCGCACCTTCCGTCTACGGAATTCCCTTCCTATTACTTGTTTACTTGATAGCTATAACCTAACTATTCAAATGTAATTTCAATCGACATCTTCAAATGCCCTGACCTATTCCCTGTCCTTGTCTTCATCCTTTCCTCCATCACGCCCCTTTACTCTCGCTCCCACTCTGTAACCCCTTGAGTGCTAGTGGCATCCCGCTTTGCTTGGGGTGAAATGCTTAAAAAAATGCTTCGGTAGTAAAGAAAAGCGACAAGAAAGAACTAACCATCAATTGTAAGAATATATGACAGAATATATGATCCTCCGCAAGAGGAACAGCCCCAAATGCAGGCTACAAATGGTAGAAGTCAGAGATTTAATTATCTGGGAAGCGTTTTAATTGATGATGGAAAATGTGATACCAAAATTCGAAACCGCACTGAAATAATGAAAGATGCCTTCCAAAAGCTAAGCAAAGTATCCTAAAACAAGAAAAATTCATTAAAAACAAAGAAAAGAAAACCGAAAAGATTTATATGTCATCAATCCTTCTATATGACATTGAATGCTGGACAATTTCATTATCGATGAAGAGGAGGCGTGAGACAACAGAGATGTGCTTCTACAGAAGGATACTGAGAATAACATGGACGGATCATGTGAGAAATGAGGAATTTTAAAGGAAACTGGAAACAAAAGGACACTTAAACTAAGAATAAGAAAGAGAAAGACTGTTGGATACGTAATGAGGAAAGCGGGTTTGGAGAATTTGACGCTCAAACTTATTGAAGGAAAATCGACAGAGGGAAATAGCGAGTAACCGTCCCGACGAGTTAGTGTAAATAGATGGCAGAAAAGGGAGTGAGAGTGATAGTAAGAAGAAAAATGTTGCTGAAAGCTACAAAGAAAAGGAAATTGTGAAAAGCCTTGATCATCCACGTCCTGAAGGGATACGACACATAAGAAAATAATTAACTGGTGCTTTTTGCTGGATATTAATACACAGCAAGTCTCCCCATCACTCAAACACTGTTATTGCTTTTAGTAAATGTTGTCATCTGGATGTTTTCATTGCTTGGTAGGATTTGCGGTTTTAATCTTCTTGCATATTTCTTCTGGAATCTTCCAGGTGATACAACGAGTATGAGTTTAATGCAGTTGTCATCTTCATATTATACTATTTTTCATTTCTCCAGTAAGACCCAAAGATTATATTTCTGGTTGGCCCGTGCTTTGGATTATGTTTTGTATTCTTTGAGGTTTTATATCAGGATTAAGTTCTGTAATCTCATCTGGATGCTTGCTGATTATAGTAACGTTGGAAAGATTTCGAGTCTACCATCGGATTTTAAATTATTCCAATCTATTTGTGAGGAACTTTGGTATATACCGTGTTTTCACATTAGTAACTGATGGCTTACGCTACAGAATAAAGGACAAGAAGAATTTCCAATACTCAAACCTTTCCCTTAGTATGACTGTTTGTTATTATTATTATTATTATTATTATTATTATTATTTCCTTTGATATTTCTGGTGTGTACTCATTTCTTTTCGGGTCCCACCCAGAGATCTAATGTCAGAAATGGCATCATGAAATTTTCTACTAAGCAGCCAAAAAACAAAAAAAAAAAAACAAAAAACAAGTCAAAACAAAAAACATTTTACATTGATAAAGCCTTTCGTAAGGTGTGAACTGTACTCGTGAGAACAATTTTTTGTATTTCTTTAAGTCATGGGCTGGCAGGAATTCCTTCACTGTTTGTTATTATAAATAATAATAATAATAATAATAATACCACAAACAAAACCAGTGCCTCCTTATTGATATGGCAGTCTCTGCTGACTGCAATATATCTTTGAAGATATTCAAAAAGCTGTCAAAATACAAGGACCTTGAAATAGAAATCTCGAAAATGTGGCATATGGGAACAACAAAAATCCCTGTTGTAGTTGGAGCCCTAGGACTGGTTGGAAAAGATTGCAGTAGACTAATTGAGGGGATTCCTGGAAGTCCATGCCTCAAGGAGATACAAAAGATTGTTCTAACAAGTACAGCCCACACTTTGCGAAGGGCTTTATCTATGTATTTTTTTTTTTTTTTTGTCAGTGGAAAGTGTCATGATGCCATTTCTAACCTTAGGTCCCTGGGCGGGACACGGAAAGAAATGTGTAAACGCCAGAAATCAAAGAAAAAAACAATAATTATTATTATTTTTGAGTGTAGGGAAGAGTACATGAAGAGTGACGCTGGGGTACAAATATACGATGTCCAATATTCTCATCATCACACCCAGTCTGATAAGGGTTTACTTAATATTATTATTATTATTATTATTATTATTATTATTATTATTATTATTATCGTTGAATGCCGGGGTATCACGTCAAAAGAGTAACGCTGGGTATAAATAAGCAAAAATATACAAAATCCATCATACTCATCATCATACCTAGCCTGATAAACGTTTCCTTAATAAATGTTATTATTATTGATTATATCCACCTTTATTTTGAGTTTTTGTTTCTCTCTAGGTTTATATTTTATTTATTGAGCTTTTCACGACCTTTACGAATAAAATCATTTTCTTTTGGAGACTTCATAAGAATGAGGAATTGGCAATAAAATAATAGAGAATAAAACGATGTACGGTTTATTTCATTCTTGGAAAAGAACTTCAATTGAATTTTCGGTTTGAAAAACAAGCAGAAAAAGAAAAAAAAAATCGAGACTGGAGTCAAAATGCCACCCAAAGACGCAGCAACACGAATATAAGAAAGATATTCACAGAAGTATTTCTTTCACTGAAAGAACGCATATATCGCTCACACTTATCAGCTCAAGATAATAGCAAATTTATGTGGGATGCCAATTATCTCCCTTTAATATGAATAAAATTTTCTTAAAAATATTGACAAATGAGAAACGATGGGAGGAAGGAATATAAATGTGAATATATAAGCATGATGAAGTTACATCTAGTTAGTAATATAAGCGAGTGTGTGTTTTTGTGCATGGTTTTGCCTTTGTGTGTTTAGTATAGAGTACACCCGTCTGTCCCATTCTTTTTTTGCCAGGGATTTTTTTCTATAAAAAAAGGAAGGATTTGTGGCTAAAAGGAAAAGCAAAACTGGCGAAATATTTGAGAAATTGGTCTTCAAATATAGCAGGCCAAAATAAAATTTAAGAATGTATACATACCGTGATTCCCCATGTATAATACACTTTCAACCATAATACGCACATCTAAAATTGTGCTGAAAGTATGGGAAAAATGCTTCTAGTTACGCATAATACGCACCCCTTGTTTGGTAATCAAACCCTATAAATTGTACTTCTACAATTTAATTACGTTCAGCGTTTCCTAATCTTATTTAAAAAATGGTTTTAAACATAGAATAATATTATTCTAATTTAGTTTTATGATACATTTTATTTTACGGTAAAATTTATGATTTTTTATAGCTGTGCATAATACGCACCCCCGATTTAGCCTATTATTATTTTTTTTTTTTTTTTTTTTAGAAAAATGCGTATTATACATGGGGAATTATGGTAATTTAACATCCACACTTTTTCATGATGTGACATTTTCTTTTGGGATTCGTGTCGTATAATTATATATCTAGTGGATGTAGAATAAATACTGTACGCGACTATAAACAAACATGTTATACGGCACACTAATAATCTCGTAACCGATCGTTCAGATGCCCGTCTCTTTTGGAATAGATCAAGTTAAAGACCTCAATATGTAACACAACTCTGCTGCCAATAATTAAGATGACCGTGATTGTCGGTGACCTTTTAAATTTGTTGGGAATTCAAAATTCGAAGATCATACAGTTACATTTCATAATATCTACATGGACGGGATAGTTGTGTTTTTCCCAAGCTTGCTCCAATGGATAATGGCTCGGAATTACTCCTGGGAAAAATATGAATTCAACTCTTCTCCCCCTTAATATGGGTTAATTAGTAAGTCTAGTATCACTAAACTATTATTAACAAATCCCCCCAAAATCTTACAATCTAAAAATATTTTCTGGATTTAAATAAACAGAAAAGGGTTGATAAACCGTAGAAAACAAATCAATCAATAAATAAAATAGATGGAATATACAAAATATAATAAGACATTTCTTTCTTTTAATGCTTCTCTATTTCAATTGATTGCTAAAACTTGGCATTTATATATTTTAACAACAACTAGGAAGTCAACTAACAACTCTCATTAGAACTTTTCCACGATCAGCTCGTATAGTTAAATAAAATCACAACACCAGCCAAAAATGATAAATTGAAATAAAAATAAACTTGAAAATTATTTTACCTGTGTTTTATTACAGGAACGCTGAAAACCATAGTGCCAACGTGTAATCCATCAAACACCGTCGATATATACAGTAAATTGAGCATAAATATTTGGTAACGACCACATCCACCAGCAGCTTTGATTACGTCTTCGTAATTCATAATTTTCTTGATATTTCTCTATTTTTCTCTCTGTAAATCACAAAAATGGTGTCTTGCTACAATTTAAAGTAATGCGAAATGCACTTCGGAGATAAGAAGAATGCAGCAAGTTTGTAAGTTCTTGATTTAATGAAGACAAATACTGGTTCAGCCTTTTGGTAATCAAGTTTCATAATGTTTAAACGGTTAGAATACTGAGTGACAAGACCTATTTGCATCAACCAATCAGATTGCTTCTATAGTAGTGGTGGTAATAATAGTAATAGCAATAATAATAATAATAATTCATATAATATTACTTTATATAATGACTGGATTTTTATTTAATATAATCATTATTATTATTATTATTATTATTATTATTATTATTATTATCAGTAATAAATTTTTCTCTAAATTTTTTCATAATTTAATACGAATTCTTGCTGTTGATACTGTTTCTTTCTGTTTTGAAACAATTTTTTCTTTAGAGTATTACTTCTAATAATATAAGTTATTAGAAATAATAATTTTAATGATAATTAGTATATAATAGACCGAGGGTGATTACTACTACAACTACTATTACTATCTATAATATTGGAAAAATATCTCCCATCTTTTCTGTGGCTTTTACAGATAATCAAGTGACAGTAATTCTATCCATTACTGTAAAAGTCATTTTACGATTCTCATCGATTGCAATAATACTGTTGTATTCAAATATTATTCGTTTTTCCAATTCTCCATTTATTCTTTTTTCCGGGATCGTTCAAAATTTCCCCAAAAGCAATGAGTCCAAATGTCATTTTTGTGTTACACAATATTTCGAATTCTCTGGTAAGATCAGGATATTTTTTCCAAATTTATATTTTCTTTTAATTTAACACCGTGGTCAGATGGAACAATATTCACTAATTAACATATTTTTCTTTTCTTTTTAGACTTGATTAAATAGTTTGAATTTCAAATTCACCAAAATCGTGCCTTCTTATTATAGACGTATTTTCACTTTGTACTGAAACTATTGAAAAAAAAAACAAACAAACAAAAAAAACTCATGACCTCCTGATAAAAATCATTTTCATGTGTATTAAGTGTATATTTCCCCTTTTTAAGATTACATAACTTTTAGAAGAACAGAATACGAAACACGTGGAAAAATTAATTTTGGTGAATTAAGACCAGTTGTGATGGAGTCATATATTTCTATTTTTTAATGATGCAATAACCCATTATTATTGAGTAAGAGATTAGCAAAGTTACGCTAGAGTCCAAATATATGAAACTTAATATTACATTAAGTCCGATAAAGATATACCAGTTCCATACATCACAGCTAAATGTGCGCTAGATAGTGAAAAGTTTTGACAAATGCAGTGTATAAACTTCCAGGTCTCAGTCAGAAATAAATTCAGGTCCGGTAACCTAGTCCACTTAGGTGATCTCTGATTCAGGGTGTTCTCAAGTAGAAAATAGACGTGACTTTCAAATTCACTTGACTGACTCATCTTTCTAACATAAACGAACAACCCTGACGACACCCGTTCATTGATGTTCCAGTACTAATTCCATTCATGAAGAGATGGGAAATGAATCAGCACCTACGGTACATCCCCAAAGGGTTAACGTTAGATAAGTGACGTGCAAATCTATGGTACTGAAGGTTTGTTTTAATTCAGCAATACAAATTATGTACAAGACGAACCTTCTGAGCCTTATAACTATTGTACTATTAGACTTCTACCACATTTTCGCAAAGTTCTAGAGGCTCTTATCATTCAAAATTCGTTAATCATCTCATCTCGCAGAGTCTACATTCAGACAAGCAATACGGATTTTGCTTTTCTACGTCAAGTGCTGATGTGTTAACGGTTGTTGCTCAAAGAGTCTGTCAAGCTCTCGATACGAATGATGAAGCTCGGGATGGATAACTCGAAGATATTTGACAGGGTTTGTCATATTGGTTTTCTTCACAAGTTGAAAGGTTATGGTATTTATGGATTCATTTTTGAACTAATTCTTGAACCACAACATGAAAGGGGTCTTGAACGGTCACCCTTCTAGATCTTTGTGCATTAATGGAGGCGTCCATCAGGGCTCTATCCTTGTACCTACGTTCTTCCTAATTTTAATCAACGACCTTCCTGATGGCTTCTGTTCTCAACTCATTATCTATGCTGATGACACAACGATTTATTCCTGTCTGAATAGTAAGTGAGCGAGAGCAGAGTTAAAAAAAAACAACTTCTGTCTGTTATTAACTGGAGCAAGGAATGGCTTGTTAATTTTAACAGCTCCAAAAATAAACTATTCTCTTTTAACCGTCTGAGATAAACCTTTTTAATCTACCATCAGCACGGCTCATGCTAACTTCCAAGAGAGGGATTCATTGTGCCTTCTCGGACTAACATTTTCCACTGACATGAAGTAAAAAGATTATATTGAATCAATTGCTATGTCTGTTGCTAAGGAAATTGGTTCTCTGTGGCGTGCTAGATATTTTTTTCCTCCAGAAGTCTACCATTCGTTCTTGCTTTGAATACTGTTGCCACGTCTGGTCTGGTGTCCCTGCTATACATTTAGAGATTCTTGATAAAGTCCAAAGAAGAATTTGCAATGTTACTAGTCCTGATCTGGCATTTTGCCTTCAATCACTTTCCCCGCCGACGTAAGCCTTCTTCTTGCTATAAATACTTTCCTGGTAATTGCTTGGTTGATCTTTCCTCAATAGTACCTAGACTTTAAGAATTTAAGCGCACTACTAGATTAGCAAGAACGTCTCAACATTTTACAGATGAAATAGCTAGATGTAACCGTAAGTTCTATGCCAACAGTTTCTTCTATCGCACTTCTCCCTTATGGAACTCACTTCCGGCTTCTTGCACCCCAATCAACTTTGATTTTCAAAAATTTAAATGCAATGTCAGTCGTTATCCACTGTCTTTTAATTTCTGTTCTTTTAAGGTTCTCTATCCTTAATTGTGTTTTTTCTCTCATATTCTCTAACACTCAGTAACCCCTTGCTTCGTAGTAGCTTTATTGCCTTGTTTGTGGTGAAATTAATAAAAAATATATGTGTCTATTTTAAATGTGGGTTTATATACTTATATATGTGGATATGTGAATGTGCATGCGCATTATTTTTGAAAATATATATTTGATGTGTGTTTAAATTATATGTATATGTTTGTATTTGGATGAATGTAAGTATATATATAGCTTTTTTAGTAAATAAATGAACTTCTCCATTATCATAATAGTATGATATAAATATCAATATTTAAATTTTACAACGGTCAGTTTTCAATCAGCACCTGACGATTGCACCGTGTTTGAAAGAGTTGCGCTACCGGTGAGGAACAAAATGTATATTTATTACAATGGGGACCTGGTTTTTGCTGTCTGGCACTGAAGTTATGTTTCCTAGTAATTTTGCGGTGCTGATTTCAGAAATGAAATCCATTTTGATCTATCACGTAAACATTTTTCACAAACTCAAGTACCTATTTTGTAAGCATTTCCCCTATTGTCACCATTTCTAAATCTAAAATGATTTACACAATGTTAACAGCTCTAATGAAGTAAGGTCAAAAGACATGACAGCCATGTCAGGTGTAGCATCAAGATGATTATAATTATTATTACTTGCGTGTTTACACAAGATATTTTTTGATTACCAGTAGTGATTGTGTGATTACAACTCTCTTCAAATCTTGAGTACCTTTCTCAGTATAATCATAATCGTCATTTATGTCCCATGTCAACACAGGACATGGATAATCAAGGTTTTCCACAAGTTATCCTTTGAAGCTCTTTGATATTTTGCCTTTTCGCCATCATTCCCTTTTCTGTTATCAATTTCACAAGTGTTTTTGGTAGGATACTCACTGTTTCCATATGTCTCTCAGTATGTCTTGTGTGTGTCAAATTCTCCAAACCCTCATTCCTTATTATGTACCTTAAAAATTTCAACTGTTTCTCTGATTCTAAATATAAGTGTTCTTTTTATTTCCATTTTCATTAAAACCTCTTCGTTAATCATATGTTCAATGAATGGTATTTTTAGGATCCTTCTGTAGAACCGCATGTTTGTTGCCCCCAAGTTTCTTCTTCATCTGTGAGAGGATTACCAACCATCTACTCATAATAGTAGTTCTCAATAATACAGCATTACTCGGCTTTTAATTCATCCAACTTAATGTTTGGAGATTTTGGTTACATTTTCATGAGTGCCATCTATTATTTTAACCTTCATGTTCCACCATTCTCTGTTGAAATATTGCCATACAATATACGGGTATATTAAATTCATATCTCTGTGAGGTATTATTACTAACACGAAGATCAATGTATCTTCAAGTATGAACTGTACTGAAAGGATTTTTTGAGTTGACATGGCTCGGCGCTACTTGCACAACTTCCTGGTGTTTTCAGAGTAAGAAAATATTATATCCGTATCTCGTTTGGAGGATTGGATTTAGTGGTATTGTTTTTAAAGCCATTTCCTCGAAATATTCCATGTATATGTTTGCAAAATCTTCTTTCGGTCGATCCATAAATGTTAATACCCAATTGGAAATATGTTTCTGTATAGAATGTCGGTATTTCCTGTTCTGTTGGAACTCTGGCACGTACCGTCAGAGTTGGAGTTCAGATTTTCAGTTTATTACTGTGGGAACCTAGGTGAAGAGAGTTAAAGAGTCCCAAATCGTTATCTGATTGAAATGAATATGATCTCTATCCGCTTTTTTTTTGTAACGAAATGTGTGGAGATCTTTACACAGCGCCTGTAAGTAGGCTGACTATGATAAAGAATTCGTTTAATAGATGACACAATGAGTCCCGACAATTGACCATAGAAACATTTCAAACAATAGTTTAATAAGTAAGTGAAGCTTAGAGTCCTTTTTATAAAAACTTACACAGTCTCTTAATTTCACCTTTCCTCTTTTTTTCACATTCTCCGTTGCAAGTGTCTGGAGGAGCAAATAAGTAAAGTGAATAAGAGGTATAAACGA